CTGCGTTTAAAGCCACTGGTGAATATTGTTGCCACCTCTCAAAATAAAAGAAATGGAAGCAGATATAATAAATATTTAAAAAGTTTGACAAGATATTATAGTTTATTTGTTAAGTAATAACAACATGACGTCATGTCCTTTTATCTCTGAAGGCATACGCAAAACTCAATATAATATGAAACATCGTATTGAACTAGTGAACACACTGTGATAGGCATTGCTGGGTCATAAGTCCCATTTAATAAGGGCTCACCCCCACCATATCGCCGTTTACAGAACACCATTAATTGATATTGATTATTGGAATATGTATTCTCAACATAGGACATACACATAACTTCTAGTTCGACAATAATCTTTTTTACAATTTTAGCGAATTCAATGTACTACCACTAACATAGTTGGGTATACTCCAAGAGAAGGAAGAAGGAGGTTTTATCGAAATATTCTTTGGCATAACCTCAGGAGGTCACTTTAGACTTAAGTTCGTGAAGATATTGCTTGCAAACTTACTTGGAGATAGCCTCGAGTGTTATACCAATTTATGACGTATAACTATATATAGGTACTTGTAAAATGTAAATATTCTTTGCTCTATTCACAATTTGAAATTGGGATCGCAATATTGCTATTTGGCAACGCATGTCTAACCTAGATCTTTTGATTTTATTTTCTATGCAATTTGTACAATGGACTGATGTATCTTGTTTGTCGATACAGTGTGGTAGGTAAAGGTCGAATATTGTACTGATTAAGTCATACTTGTTGTTGGCTGAGTACTTGCAAGAATGACTGCTAAAAGGTATTAGATGAAATGAAAGCCAACCTATCACAGATCGCTTATAATTACAGAGATCGTGTTCATTTAGGGAGAAAATAGAAAATCAATATCCTTAAATTTTAAAACCGAATACGTTACTTGAACACAGCTTAAAAATATAAGTTAAGAGCTTTTAAATACAACGTTATTATTTTTTTTAAATATACGCTACCTACGCTGGGAGCCGTTCAGCATCGCCATTGATCAGGGGTGTCGCGCACACCGGCAGGTGCCGCCTCACATTGCAGGTGCTAGTGACATGAGCGCTATAAATTACACAGCCCTAAAAATTAACCCGCCTATCGTAACTCCCTTCAGTATTTCGTGGTTATGAAAAGAATTATGCAATGTAGTCGTTATAGACAATACATTTTTTTCAAAATTGGTAACCTTTTACCTAAAACTTAGTAATAACTATTAGCCAATATTTGACGTTGAGCCTTAATAATCGCAATCAAAAAACCAAATATATTAAACCAAAAATAAACTTTGAAAACTCAAAAATCAAATATAATATTCATGTCTATCCGTCCTTTACTGACATTATGAATATTAGAATTTAAAATACTCCAGCAAACTTTTCTTTCTATCGCGATCATCCATAATATAAGCATTTCAAATATTTGCCCAACAATATTTGTTTTAAGTTTGCAAACATTTTACTTTAACCGAAAAACTAATACTAAAATATCAATCGTGCTTTAGAATATATTTCAGCTATAGTATAATCAAAAACAATATTTTGAACAAGGCACACAGAAAGATTGTATCTCGAAAAGACCAAACTTGTACTGTTGTACTCGCTTGTAAATTCGGGTCGTCTACATTTAAAACACACTTAACTAAATGTCACGATACATTTGAAATTCACCTCTATGATTAAGCGTATAAGGTAGTATTGAACTGCATGATAAATATTGCAGTTATCTAAGCAAACATTCAGTGTAGCCCCAAATTGTTGCGGTTTCCGACGCTCCGTTCGTATGTTTGTATGAAGTAAACACCACACAATTGTCGCTGATTTGTTTGTTCTTCGATAGTTGCGGTAATTGTTTTGACCCTACAATATACTGCCAATGTTATTTTGTGTTACAAGACAGTGTATGAGATGTTGCAAGCATATAGTTTGTTAATGGTGCTGTTAACATATTGCTAGCTACTGGATCGTTTGTCTAGTTGGTAGTGCGAGATACGGGGGTAACTGAACTGTATAGGGCTTTGTGTCGTGGACTACTAGCGATTTTGAAACTTCTCTAAATCTCTATATAATAACTATACAATGATGATTAATTAATAATGATTAGCTCTATCATTGAGGTCTTAATGAGATTGCATACGCACTTGATGTGAAACTTTTTAATTTTTTATGGTATACCTCAGGGACCTATTTAGGTCCAATGTGATTTTGTGTACTTGTTAACATTGAATCGAAAAATATGATTATATGTTATATAAATTATGTAAATACATTACAAACTTATAGTTCATTTTGTTATCGCAAGGTAATCTTGGGCTCCCTTTGCATTGCACCGCTTTACCAGAAGTGGGCAGTAAAGATAAGTAAATTTCGTTTCAGCACACACTATAAACCTTTAAATTGGTTTACCCTTCATGAATTTTAAATGCGTAAATTGGGACATAATTGACGCGGTTTACCGTTCCGCCATATTAGTAACGGTTAACGCTACCGTTGACCACAACATTGTTCTGTGTTTGAAATCGCTTCAATTCTATATTTAAATATTTTCCCGGTAAAGTCGTATGGGTTGTTTTGCTCATTTATGGTTTTGTTCGATTGAGGTTTTATGTCTAACGAGATTTGTTGATGCATTATTAGTTAAAAAAAAATATTTTTGGCTCACTTTGGAGATTTACTGACTTTTATATCAGTACACAAGACATAAGTTATATCCCAGCTAATCCAAATATTAATTTAATTTACTGATATAAACAATTTTCGTAGAGCGTTCAAATCAAATTTTCCTGTCATGTAGACTAATCAAATACACTTCCCATTTCTAAACGGCTCGATTAAAAGGTGGGGTACATCTACCTGGTGCAGAGTCACTAAAGGTGAGTTTATTCAATATACGCAGGCCGTCCCATTGGTCGTATCCTTGATACCTACTCGACGGCAATTAAGTGCTTTTCCTGCGCCCGAGGCTACCGCCAAATCAGATTCCAGGCTCCCCTAGACGCCATGTTAAATACGCACAGTGTAGCTAAATATTTATGAAAAATTTAGTTTTTATCAGCGCGTCAATTTTTTCTATGTTATTTTTTTAGTCTGCGTTATGGTTGGTAGGGTGACCAAACTAGATAAGGCGCAGCCCAGAGTGTAACATCCATAAAATTACATACAGGAGGGGTCGACGCGACGGGCCAGTTATCGAATCACTTCGGAATGCATAGGATATTTTGCGCTTGTACAACGCTGTGATGGCTAAATCAATTTTATGGAAACTGCCGAGAGACGATCAAAAAACTGCAGTTTAGAAAATAGACCCGGTTTAAATTATTTTATAAAAATATTTACCGTTAATCTATTAAAGTTTACTTAGATTAATGTTCGTTTAAGTTGTCTGAATTCAACTATAGCTACCCATCCCCATCAACATCCCATCCGCTGGTTCAACGAAAAACAAACAAGTCGAGTAGAATAAACAAAATAAAAAGAAAATACTCCTTCAGCATAATGCTTTTAAACCCCTTCGAGTCGTCCATTTGCAAGTACAGAGTTTACAAATAAACTGAAATCAAAATGAATAGTTTATGCAAATCCTATGAGCAGTTCTTGAGCGAACAAAAATAAAGACAAATGTATTTTTGTTGAGAAAACCAATATACTTGTAGAAAGTGCATGGCTCACCAGCGAGGATCGTGACGGGAAATTAAACCGGGATTACAAAGCGTGGATCTTCATTACTTACATTGTTTTAATATAACTTAGATGCTTTAAGTGTTTTGATATAAGAAAAATAATATCGGTTATTACTGTCATCATTAGTTTAAATGGTTGTATGGTTGAATTATACGCAGTCATCATCATTATCAACAGCCGAAAGACGTCCACTGCTGGACAAAGGCCTCCCCTTTGGTATAATACAGGTAGTGATTTCGTATAATTCGTCATTGTTCAGTTTAAGCAATATTCTTAACAATAATACTACCATTTTACGTTTTTCATTACACAGTATAAAACAAAGTCCCTATCCGCCGTCATTCTGTCCATATGTATGCTTAGAACTTTAAAACGATGAAACGGATTTTGATGCAGTTTTCTTATATAGAGTGATTCTTAAGGAAGATTTATATGTACATGCATATTGCACCCGTGCGAAGTCGGGGCGGGTCGCTAGTGTTATAATATAAGACTTCTGCATTAATAAATAGTTACTTTAAGACAAGACACAATGTATCTTATTTGCTCAATTTTATTGCTACAATATCATTAAACATTTACACACAAGATACCTTTTTTTACTTTCGTTTAGAGACACCTGTGTAGAATGTCTCCAGACAGCACAATGTGGCAGTACGTCACGTAACCCGTTATAACTTCAATATTTCTAATGGCGACCCATCCAATCGTTCGCAATGGTATTGTTATCGACGAAAGACAATGTCCTTTGTTGCAACGTTATTTCTTTTTTCATTTCTATTTGAAAATGTTGTGGTTTTAATAAAAGGTGTTATTTTTATTATATATGGGAAATCAATAAGATAAACATGATGTTAATGACATAAATATATTCACAGTTTCCATCGAACCTTTGACGTATGTAACTTACAAGGACGTCAAAGATTTTTTCAATTACAATTGAATAGAGATACGCAATTTAGAGATTAAGTTCTATAGCGGTCTTGTTCTAATCTTTCTACACACGATAATACACAGTGGTCGGAATGATGTGGATTATCATTGCCAACTTGAAATAATATTTTGACTTCAACTTTGAATTGCTTTACATCTAGATCATTACATCTTGTATTTGTGTTGTATCTCATCGTATCTTCTCATAAACTCCAAGGTAGGGAGGGGGAAACTACCTTCCAATAACATCATCATCAAAGCAAACATTAAAAATGCTTTACTAAATAAACTTCCTTTCTCTTTTCTTTCTTTCTTTCAATGACCCCCTCTATCATTTATTTTGTCTCCAATGATTATTTCTTCTGGCTAAGGTTCTTGAGTTTCTTTTGGTGCAGTTGCCATTGTTTCAGGAACCTTTTCTTTCTTCATATTTGGCAGTGTAAGACAGGTTAAACCATTTACTGTAATGAAGTAGAAATTATTGAACATGATAATCGAACTAACTAGCTAGGATCTAATTGAGCTAAGTATAAAAGGATTAAAAAGAAAACATCTTTTTACAAAAGTAAAAATTAATAATTTGTTAATACATTCGAAAAAAAAACATTGAGCTGACTCCAAAGTCAGCTCAATGTTTTTTTTCGAACTACTTGGGTAGTTCGGGATATTGGTAGAAAGAAGAAGAAAACCATAATGAAATGGTAACCATTCGCACATATTATCAGAAGTATTCAGCCTCACAGAAAACCGACGTAAAGCAACGCTTGCGTTGTGTTTCGTCGTGTGAGTGAGGTTACCGGAGGCTCAATTACCCTCCCCTTCTCCAATCTCCCCAATTCCTGAATCCCCAACGATCCTCAAACTCCTAATCCACAAAAGACCGGTAACGCACTCGTAACGCCTCTGGTGTTCCAGGTGTCAATGGGCGACGCCGATTGCTTACCATCAGGTGATCCGGCTGCTCGTTTACCGGCTTATGCCATAAAAAAAATTAGACAATAATCTACTCACCAACCAGGAGACTTCCGAATAAATAAAATCCAGCTCCACAATTGATGTCCAAGAATAGACCAATTAGATAGGATCCGACCATAGAACCTGTACGTCCCGACATCATTGATAAACAGACCGCCATACCCCTGTGTAAAAGAAAATCAACCTTATCCTAACGTGCATACGGAATAGAGATATTTGCAAAGACTGGACAATAAAAGGAGATATACAGTTATTATCTTGTTAATTAAGGAACTATCAACTTAATCTAATAAACCGAAAATATCAGAAATATGGATTTTAAGTATTTATACACCGTAAAATCTATTTCGTTTTCGTCCAGAAGTAATCTCTGATTCCCAAACAATCCTCAACTTTCTAATCCCCAAAAGAGCGGTAACGCAAAAGCAAAACTTGTAACGCCTCTGGTGTTCATGTGTGTTAATTCAAATGTCCATAGGCGACGCCGATTGCTTACCATCAGGTGATCCGTCTGCTCGTTTACCGGCTTTATCCAAAAAAGGATATAATAATGTGCAAAAAGAAAGTACCTTAGTTGAATGGTTTGTGTTTAGAGCAGATAACATAACGTACCTATACTTCGTTGGAAACAATTGAACAGCAACAGCGTTAGTCAACCCGACACAGGCACCAGACATTTGGAAGATAGCAAACAGTACTACAGCAATTTGCTGGTCGTACACCAGATTGGCACTGATAGCACAGATGCCAGTGATGGTCAAGGTCACCACCAAGATGTACTTCTTGCCCACAAAGTCCACTAGAACGGCTACAATGAGGTACATGGAACAGAAGACGAGTCCAACGTAGATTGAACGCTCGAATGTTGAGGTGTAGATTGTGTCGTCACAGATGATCTGCAATGCAAAAATTAAAAAAAGTTGGTAATATTTTTATAGACTTAACTTTAAAGAGTAGTTTGTTTTTGGAATGTTTATTGAAACAAGAATGTTTGATTTATTTGAGCTAATAATTATTATGAAATCTAGTTGGTGGCAAGCACATAGAGGGATAAAAATCAGGATAATATATCGACACGTCGTTGGTTCAAGTTTATTGTTACACACCTGGCGGAATTCTAGACTCTGCGCTGTTAATGAGATCTTTGAGAATATACATAAACCTAGTAATTTTTGTTTGACCCACGCCAGGAATCCATTCTAAAATCCCTTGCTCGGTAGGCACTATCAATGCCAATTAAGGAACGAAATTGTTTGTCAAGTAATATAAACAAAATATTGTTGAGAACTCATTACTAAAGTTTCACTTACCGTAGTACTATTTAGAGAATCAGCAGCAGTTTTGGCTCTTGTCAACTCGATGACGTCACAAATTTTCATGTTGGCGCTGTCCTGGCTACTTAACGCGTTCAAAATAGTCGGGAACCAGATGTAGAAGCCGTTTGTTCTGTAATAGTACAAAATCTGTTATTTTATTTAGTTTCACGTAACACGTTCCATCTCAAATTCTTAAATTACATTTGTATTATGCAAACATTAAGTTCATCTTTACACACAACTCAGAAGCAACAGGGAATAACTTTCACTCCATGTAAATAAAAGGTAATTTAATAAATGACTGCAAAATCAAGTTTAGGTTTGTCTCATACAATCGTAAGAATCAGTAAAGATATTAATTTACATTAAAATGTCTTAAGATAGCAAATATACTTACGCAGAAAATATTCCAAACTGCACAAAGCAGGTGAGACAAATCCAGGGAAGGAGTGGCGGTTTGAAGATTGGTAAAGTTTGTTCCTTCATAGAAGACAATATACCGGTTATGCCTTTACCCTTGTCTGTGTTTGTGACTTGATTCTCTGCAATCAGCGACTTCACCTTGAAGGAAAATATAATAAAATCTTTAATAGTATTTACGATACTATAACAAACATTAATCGATAAAAACCAGTCCTTTTTATAGATATAGTATTTTGTTAGTTTTAATTAATTTAAACTCTATTTGAATTAGAAGTAAATACAAAATTCTGTAATTAACGTTGAAGACTTAGAGTTATAAATAGCTTTATTAAACTATATATTCATTTTCACTTTCTTAGTAAGAAATAAACTAAATTTATTACTTATTAAAAGCCTTATATTCTAAAAATATTCTTTACTGTTTTATGTTTTTCGAGTTTAAAATAATAATTTTGGAATAAGTAGTTTAGTTATTATAAGTCAGCGTGATATATATTTACTTACAATAAAACTATCTTTAGGCTTGTAGTTATTGGCTGCGTAGATTATTCTCAATACTTCCAAACACTCTTCATGGCGACCACTAGAATAGAGGAACTTGGGGCTCTCTGGTGCAAAGAAGAGAAAAGTTGTCGCGACGACGAATGGAATGGTACAAGCCACGACTAGCAACCTCCAGGGCCGATAGTAAATGTCCAAGAACTCCATGTAGTAGGAGAAGTTTAGTGGTAGAATCAGCCAGGACAGACCTGGAATAGAAACGTTATGAGTTAGTGCCGATTGATTTGGTATTTAAATAAAATTCTGACTTAACTCGTCGAGTACCGGTTTTATAGACACAATTAAAGAACAATAGGTCGCGGTCACCGGTGACCGCTTGGTGTTTGACAGTTGACGGTACTCAAAGAGTTAAATAAATGATTACGTCAACGAAGTTATTGAATCTCTGAGGCGCCAAGTTTTAGAACTTTGTCAGTCCCAGTAAAATATATGCAGAAATAAATTTTATATTAACTTACATGGTAAGACTACAGTGCCGATTCCAATGAAAGCGGATCCAAACGTGACCATCTTGTCTCTGTGGCGTAGATTATGAAACTCTCCAAGAAAAGTATATACCACTGCAGATGGACCCGTCATACTATAGAGTAAAGAAAATAATTTCTAAATAATCTACACTACTTCTGGTAAGAAGAACTTCCAAAAGAGAGAAGTGATGAGGAACAAGTAAAGAAAATCACGCACAAAATATAAACGACCGGCATTGTAAAACGCATATTTAGAAAAATAATCAAAGATGAAGATGACATAAGTTAAAAATAATATTTTTATAATGTAAATACTCACAAAATAGCCGAAACGAATTGTAACACAGCAAACGATGTAAGGTTCGGTGCAAAACTAGATATTGCACTTATGATGACAGCCAAAAACATCGATCCGAGCATGGCTGTCCTTCTACCTTTAGTGTCAGCTAACCATCCCCAGAAATATGACGTTAGTATAATAGCTGAAATGAAAAAAAACTAAACTTATATATTTGTTACATACGAAAAATTATCGCGTACTCCTACTGTAGTGGTAAGTGATATGAGTTTCAGTAGTGGTTTTAGTTACTCAAAGAATACTTATAACGAGATCTGATGATCGTATAACTAAACAAAGTACCTAATAAGACTATAAACAGCTAAACTCAGGAAGCAAGCGTGATGATTGATACTTTTTCCTTCTCAGTGTGAAAATAAGCTTCTTCTTAGCAGTAAAAACTGTTACACGCTGATGACAAAATCCCGGAAGCAACGATTTACGATCAAATAATAGGTAATAACAAAAAATGAGACTTAAGTTCCTTATTATTTCCTGTGTTGAATAATAATTTGTCTAACCTGTGAATGGCAAAGCAGACAGCCATCCTTTCTGTTGCGTTGTGAGCTCCAAGTCACATTGTGCTGCCGGTATCACGTACCCCAGCACAAGGCAATGCATTATCATTCCCATCAGTATCAAACCAGACATCAACATGTGTAGGATGTTGTAGATTCCAAACCCTGAGAGGAAGAAGATGTAATGTGAGTTCTATGTCAATGGTGGATGATGCTTTTTAGTGTGTTTCTAAAATTAAATAATTAAGTACCTAGCTAGTTGTTTTTGTTATTTATTATGTAGCTTTAACTCGTCGAGTACCGGTTTTATAGACACAATTAAAGAACAATGGGTCGCGGTCGCCGGTGACCGCTTGGTGTTTGACAGTTTAATCATGAGAATCGTGATTCATTAATTCTTTGCGCAGTGTGTATATGCAGTGTGCAATTGATTGCACAATTTTGTAACAGTTAAATAAATAACTATGACAACGAATACTGTAATCATATGTTAACGGTTTACATAAAATTTAAATTTATTACCTGACAACAGCATAGCTTCGTCAAGTGTTGCTGCTGTTTTGTCATTTTTATTCTTTGCATTATCCGTGGCATCACCCATGTCTCTTGTCTAAAAGTATGAAAACTGTTAAAATATTTTTGAAGACAAAACATTTGTGATCATTTGTGACAAATTAAAGTATATTACTAATTAGTCAGATGCTTTCATTTGGTATTTAATAGTCAGGACTACAACCTCTGGTTAAAAATACATAAGCATAAGTCTTTTGAATGCATTATGAAATGAATGAATTATACCTCTATATAATGAAATTCAAAACACTTTTTGTGCCCTGTAAGTTATTAAGTGTAAAAGACTGTACCTACAAACGCTTTTCCAGTTACATTATGATGTTAGTCTCATAGTCTTAAGAGGCAAGCTAATAGATGGATACCCAGCTCAATATCCTAATAGGACTTTTCTACATCACTCTGGTTTTCTGATAGAGACTGCCATTCGACGTAACTCCGCCTTTATATGATTGTATATAAAATATATCCAATACTTTGTACTTAATACCTGACCGAATTCTCGCGATCATAATAAGGTAGATGACTAAAATTAGTCAATTAGTTTTAATGTTCGTCTGGAAGACCGAATACTTTCGACGATATATTGATTTGAAATGTCGCGTGACGTCACTTCTATGTAACATTATGTGCATAGTTTAAAAAAGAACTGTGCATAGTTTAAAAAAAAAATGTAATCTCTCCATTACTAAGAATTGTTCCACTTCTATATATTAACATTTAATAACTACTCACAGTACTCAACTAACAATTGTTCATTTAGCTCTTCATGCACTTAACATTTATACACAGACATACTCAATGCCATAGGCATTCTCCATTAGTTACTTTCTGGACGATACAGATGTGTTGACACTACTAAAAACTGTAATTACTTATTTTATACTTTTATTTAAGCAAATATAAATACTGTAGATAGCAACTGGAGTGTATACAAAGACCAATATTACTAAGCCAGTTAGCAATATTGCAGAGATATTTATAGAATACCTATCGTGATTAGTTATATTTTCTTTAATTATTGTCTGTTAATTGCTTCAACAACCTCGGATAGTATAGTCACGGTAATAGTGGTATAGTCTCGCTACAATGTTGATTATAGTACATTTTCATCATTCATCACGCTAATATTATAAACATGAAAGTTTATTGGATGTTTGTCCGTCAATCAAGCTGAAACTAGGTACTGAAAGGATTTTGATGAACTTTGGTGTACATGTACAGGCAGTATGGGCTGATTTAGGTGATAGAATAATGTTTACCCCGATTAAATGCTTCCATGGGATAAAACAGAAATCATATTCTACGCGGACAGAAATGCTAGTTTAAAAGATAAAGAGGTATGGTGAATGATAAGTAGATATGACTGCCTCGTTGGCCGAGTGGTCGTAAGTGCGACTGCCGGGCAAGGGGTCTCGGGTTCGATTCCCGGGTCGGGCAAAGTATTACTGGGTTTTTAAATATTCTCAGTAGTAGCACGGAGTCTGGAATTGTGCCCGGTATATGGCAATAGGCTCACCCCCTATTACATGGGACTCATAACATAAATAGTGATAAGTGGGTGTTTCTTCTGTGTGCACCTCTGCCTACCCCTTCGGGGATAAAAGGCGTGATGTTATATTATATATATGTATATATGTAAGTAGATATGATTTACCAACACAAGGTTATACGTGTAGGAATTATAATTTATTATGAAATAAGTCAGGTCTACTAAAGAAGTTGTATATTTATTTGTTTAATTTTATAAATCGTTTTTTTCTATGCTTATATAATACTTTCCTTAATCAAAAATAAATTATTTCGACTGTTGAATACAATAAAATATAAAAAAATAATCACACATTCATTAATTGACTTTACGACCAACTTAATTTTAAGATTTTTCGAGAAAATTCTTAAGAAATAAGCATGCTGTTTAAAAATTTAGTAGCGAAAAAAAAAATTAAGTATTCACAAAAGGCAATAGTGTATTAAAACTATAATCGATAGTTTATGTAGATGTAGGATACGGGACTAAAATATATCCTAAACTGAATTATGTTCTAAAAATCTTTATCAACATTAAATTTGTATTAAAACTATAATCGATAGTTTATGTAGATGTAGGATACGGGACTAAAATATATCCTAAACTGAATTATGTTCTAAAAATCTTTATCAACATTAAATTTGTATTAAAACTATAATCGATAGTTTATGTAGATGTAGGATACGGGACTAAAATATATCCTAAACTGAATTATGTTCTAAAAATCTTTATCAACATTAAATTGACTTTCAACTACATACATACATACTTACATTCATGTTTTATTGTCACCTTATAAGGTAAGAATAAAACAAATTACACAATAAACGACCTTACGGCTCAAACATTAAAGACAAAGAAAGATTATTTTTATAATGTTGGACGTAGTCTTGATTAAACAAAAAAAATCCCTTAATAAACATGACAATATACCTAATGTTTAGAAAAATATGATAAGGTTGTTTAATGTCTTTTTATCACTTTTGTGGCTCATGGTCATATCTCGTTTACATGCTTCGCTGTGTAGATATATTTCTTTAGAAAATTGATCGAATGAATACAAGTTCAACTGCTGAGTTAAATATCTTCGATTTAATCGTGATTGAAACCCGTTTGTCAAAATTTTATTTCATTCTCAGTGTCTGTCGATAGGCTGGTATTAATGCCATACGATTTGCCATAGGAATTAAAAATCTATTTCATCCGTTAGTTAGATAATTAAAAAAAATTGACATGTATTTTATTTATTTTATCATATAAGTAAGTAATACTTAGATAAAACGAATTTAAGTTTAGGAGTGAGAGCTAGCTACGTCATGGTACCTTATTAGAATCTAGTTAGTAGTGATGTCACACGATAATTTTCAATCAATATGATTATAGTCGTGAAAAATACGTGTGTAATGTTTTATGTCTGTCGGGTAGATTAACTACCCGACAGACATAAAATAAAAATAAATTAGGAAATGTAAGAGTACAGTACATTTCTACGAAGAAATATCCTCGTAACACATATAGTAAAAAGTGGGTGTTACATTGTACAGTGGTATTAATTGCCGTAATGTGCACCTCTGTCTACCCCTTCGGAGATAAAGGACGTGATGTTATGGAAATATCAGGCGTTATGATTCATCATCGAATGATTTCATTCGCCCAGAGCTTAAAATGTTTTGTACATTTTACAGTACACAGAACAACATAGAGGTACATATATATGTATAGCGCATACATTATAAAAATAAAATAATATAAAGTTTTTATTATAATATATTTAATTAGTCACCATATTATTTATTATTTTTTATGTTATGTATTATTTTTAACTCTGAGTACCGTCATTATAGATACAATTAAAGAACAATAGGTTGCGGTCACCGGTGTCCTCGCGGTGTTTGACAGTTTAAAGTCTGTATCAATAGGCACGGATCCAAGAATTTGTTATTTAATCTCCAAGGCTGAATCTATGCCAAGGAAGGCCTAACGGGTTGCCGGGGCTCCGGCTCGAAGAGCAGGAGTAGGAACGGAGTGGTTTTTAGTCAGTAAGAGTCTGACACTCCCTCTCGCCTAACTCAAGGCGGGAGAAGTCATTGGATGATTTTCCCCCCTCAAGGTGGATCTATCCATAATTAAGATTAAGTGTGTAGTGCCATGTTCATAATTTCAAAACGAATACGATATACGAATAAAAAAATATGACCTATTTCATTCTTCTTGGATCCGCATCTGTTGTAGACTATTAATTTACCTAATCATGAGGATATAATACTCCTTAAGCTAACAACTAAACAATCACCTCATTGCTTGCTTGGGCTCAAATGTTCGCCGTGTACCAGTCGCCTCTGATCCCGCACAAGCTCTACGAGAATTACTCGTAGATATCATCATTATCTGAGGAAAATAAAACTAAAATATGTTAATTAAACGGTCAATAGAGTTCAAAATGCCATGAGCAAAGGTATTGCTTCATTTAACATAGTTTTTTTTTATATTAAAAACAAAAAACGCGACATACATTTAATTGTTACGATTGTGATTGTAAAACTACTAATAAAATCACGCCAATAATTAAAACCATTGCTCATGGCATTAAAATTAAAAAAATACAGAATGGAATTAAAAATGAAAATTGTAAGTACAAAAATCGGTATCTACTCACAGATTTTGAAGGTGATGTACAGTCCTGGTTCTCCGTTCAGTAACTGAGTCGTAAGTACCAGTTATCGTTCTTATATCACGTATCGTGAGTGACGTGATAACATTGAACTGTAAGAGGTTATCTTCCAGTGAAATGATTTCATATTTATGCTGTAACTGTGGAGTAATCGCTATTGTCTTATTGCAATGTTGTATGATTGATTTAATTGGTATAGTTGTGGTGTCTTGATTTTTATTGTTTAAGGGAACATGCACTTGGTGTGGATTGATACGGAAAACTATTAAATAATGGTTTCCGTATCTATTCTAATGTAATTGGATTGTTTTTTGGTAATGTGTTACACAATTATATGCACTGGTTTAGACTTTTTTTAACTTGCATATAATTTGGCGTTTCTCAGTTCAAACAAGTGGTATATTTTGCAAATACGTAACGTATGAATATCATCGATAGATTAATGTACTTTTTACCTCCAACTTTACATAAGGCTCTTTGTGCCTTTGCGCATAACGAGTCATAAGTTACTATTTATCTTTAGAGGTTACTAGAAGGTGCTTCAGTATGCTTTAACAAAACTAATCAGAATTTTAGATATAACACTTAAGATAAAGTTCTTATTTGCCGAGAAATAAAGAACTATCGCAAGAAATCAACGTCTGTCAACAATTGATAAGAACTACTCGTATTGGTACAGTTGAGTCACCTTTGAAGATTATAAGACATACATATGTGGATATTAAATTTTTAACCTACAAAGTTCGAAATCCTGTATAAATAAAGATAGTATTCAAGTTAACTAAAATCACGGGTTACTCACTTGAATATACTGAGAAAAGCGAAAAGC